GGCAGCCCCCGCCCCACCCCCTCCGCACGCCCCTCCCCACCCCAAGCCCTGCTCCCGGGTTGGTCCTTCCCCCAGGACTCCTTCCTCCGGATAGGGCTGGAGAAGAGCGGGGCGGGCACAGACGTTAAAGTCGCTGCCGCTCTCCGGGTGCCGGCTGGCTCTTAGCACGCTAGTCTGCAAGGCTGCTGCCAGCTCACGTGCCACCCTTCCGCAGGTCCTTCCTGCTCCCTCTTCATGCCTTTGCCCCTCAGCGAGACCCCCCTGCCTGCCTCACCTCCTGTGTACTGAGGTTATTGGTTAACAGCAGTGGCACACACTGAGCTCCAGGAGGCTGGTCTATGGACCCGAAGGGTGCCGGCGTCCATCCGGACGACGTGCCAGGAATGAAGGAAAAGGCTTGGAAGGGAGCACGTGTGGCCGCGTGAATGTGCCACTGTGTGGGCACCCAGTAATGTGTCAGTGGGTAGTGCTGTGCATGCAGCAGTATGAGTGTGACATGGTGGTGGCTGACACAGAATGTTCTGGTGAAGCTATAATCATAAGGCATTATGGGAGCGCACTTGGCTGACCCTGGGCCACCCCTCTGGCTCCTCGGCAATCTGGAAAGGGAAGGATAAAAGGGGAAGCTCAACGCTGCCCTTTGCCCTCCCAGCCCGCTCTCCCCTGGGCTCCAGGCGCTGAGTCAGCGGTGAGGGAGGGGTGCAGGGAAGGGGAGCATGGGCCGAGGTGGAAGACTTCAACCTCGGGGTCACCCAGGCAGGCTAGGTTAAGGGAGGCGGCTGCGTCCTGCTGGTCCTGGGGGTTAAGTGTGGCCTGCTCATCTGCACAAGGAGGACAGCAGGCTTGGTCCTTCACTAACTGTGCAGGGTTAATTCTTAACCCACACATCCCCACACGTGGACATACCCTGCTCCCTTTGGCCCTGAGTTCTGCATTCCTGACCCACAGGCTCAGCTGCCCAGACCCTGATTTCTCACCAACCCTGGTGGACGTGCGGTGGTAGCAACAGAACCCCACTCCCCCGCACCAGTGCCTCCACCCTTTGTGACCAAGTGTTCCCTTTACCCAGACTCATCCAATCCTGCACCCCCCCCAGGTTAAGTGTTGTCATTGTGCCCATTTTACAGATGAGGAAACAGTGCTGACAAAGGATGGCTAGGAAGCGGCCCACTCTTGGACTTCCTAGGCTGCTGGAGCAATCACCCCCAGCCCTCAGCCCCATAGCAGCCCCAGACTTGCCTCCCACTCCTGCCTCTCCCAAAGCACACCAGGAAACGGGACCTAACGCTACCCTGGCAATTTTTTTTTAATTGTGCCTGTGCGATGAGATGAGAGATCCTGGCTGGGCCTGATGTCTGACTCTGTCCTTCGATCCCAGCTGCTGTCCCCTGCCCAGGGCAGGGTTGTGATCCAGACCCTCCGAGTTCAGGCCAGGCCTGGGGCATGGGCAGAGGGTGAGTTCAAGGCAGCCGGTCAAGGAAGGCAAGGAGGACGAGGTGGAAATCCCGCGGCTGGTGGAGGTAGCAGGCGTGGCCCGCGTTGTGTAGCTTCACCACGGAGTGGTTCGGCAGGTGTCGGAGCCGCTGCAGGGACTGTGGAGCCAGGACGTGGTCCAGTTCCCCGTACAGAATGAGGGTTGGGGTCTGCGGAACAAGGCAAGGGGCTGTGACCCTGGGCCCTGAGGAGGATCTGACCCCCGGCCACCTTCTTAGGAAGCTGTCCCCAAACATCCCACTTCTCCCATCCAAGACAGGGATGAGGCCGTGTCCCCCCATGTGAGATTGAGTCCTGAACCCCATGACTCAAGCAAGGGACAGGGCACTGGGACCTTTGGGGATGCTTAGTACCTTCACAGCACAGAACTGCTCCTGGGTGTAGTTCTGCGTGGAAGTGGGTGCGATGGGCACGAATCCACGCAGCTGTCGGTGGCCTCGCATCAGGAAGGGCAGGGCATAGTGGCCACTCAGTGAGGGGCTCACCAGCACAGCGTTCTGCACCTCCAGGTCCCGCAGTGCCCGCTCCAGCAGATCTGCCCGCCCTGCCTCCGTGCGTGCTTCACTCGAAGGTGCTGAGTTCCCAAAACCTGGGCACAGCAGCAGGCACCAGTTGAGGGGAGCCCAGAAGGGACCCAGGGCTTCCTGCCTACCACACTGGGGGAGAGATGGCGGCCAGTGGCACATGGCACGTGCTACCCCGAGGTTCCCGGAAGCTATTTTTCGTAATGTAGTAGGTCTGCTAGAACAACCTATCTTTCGTTCATTCATCATACTGGCAAAACTAAAAAGACTCTAATACCCAGTGTTGGGGAAGATGTGGGGAAATGGGTACTTTCATGTATGACTGATAAATCAACCTTTTTGGAAGGCAAGGTAGTATTCGTCAAAAATTTTAAATGTGAAAAAAAAATATTAAATGTGTATTCTTTGACCCATCAGTTATTTTCAATGGCTACCCTAGATAAATTGTTGCCCATGCACTCAAAGAAACATGTCTAAAGATGCTTCGGTTACACTACTCTGGGGTTTTATTTATTTATTTATTTTTTGCTGTAGGGTGTGTGCACTCACTAGAGAGAGACAGAGAAAGAGAAAGTGAGAAATCCCCCCAAGGAGGGATGGCCACATCACAATCCCTTCTCCTCCACTCTTCTCCCAGGATGTTGGGTATGCATGCACACGTACCCAGTGTGTTTTCCAAACCGCCAGGTCCCCGACTCAAACCACAAAAGGATCAACAGATAGAGATGTCTGCTGGGACTGGCACGATCAGAGACGAGGTGTAAAGGAGAAAGCCAGGTTAGGACACTGACCGTGTTTACACCCCTCACCACCCAGTCCTGCTTCTTATCTGGATCTCCACGTACGGAGATGCCCAGAATCCATGCACGCACAGGTGCCCGACATGATTTCCAAGCCACCAGGTTTATCTCAAACCACAGTCAGCTATGTGGGAGTCCAGTGCCTTAGTCACTATGCCACTGGCTGGCCCCATTTATGTATTTATTTATTTATTTTTGAGAGAGATTTTTGCTATAGGATGTGTGCACTTGCTGGAGAGACAGAGAGAGACAGAAAGTGAGAAATCACCCCCCAAGGGGATGGTCATGCCACAATCCCTTCTCCTCCATTCTCCTCTCAGATTTTGGGTACACACACACACACACACACACACACACGCCTGGTGTATTTCAAGCCACCTGGTCTGGGACTTGAGCCATGGTCAACTACGTGGGAGTCCAGTGGCATAACCATTATGCCATCTGCTGGTCCTCATTTTATGATGTTTTAATAACAATAACAGCACAAACCATTTGTGTAGTTCACAAAACAAAAAGCTACAGTTCATCATAAAAAGTACAGTGAGTTCCCCCGACCTGATGGCTCATGAGGCAAGTCATGTTTTTCTTTTCTTTTTAAAAAAATTTGCTAGAGGGTGCATATGCTTGCTGGAGACAGAGAAGGAAAGTGAGAAAGCACCTCCCATGGGGTGTGGCCACGCTGCAGTCCCTTCTCCTCCATTTTTCCCTCCACTCAGGATTTTGGGCACACACACACACATGCTCTCGGTGTGTTTTCAAGCTAGAGTTGAACCACAGTCTTGGCCATGTGGGATCCAGCCACCGTAACCACCACGCCACAGGCTGGCCTGAGTCACATTTCTGTCTGCTCTGTGACATACAGCAATTTGCACTGTCGTTTTTTGTTGTTGTTGAGAATCTTTTAAAATTATTTTCTGTAACTTTATTTATTTTAATTTGACCAGAGAGGGACAGAGTGAGAGCAAGAGTGAGAAAAAGAGAAAAAATAAGAAAGAAAGTCGCCAGGTCCGGGACTCAAACCATAGTCGGCCATGTGAGAGTCCAGCGCTCTTCACCACCACGCCACCTGCTGGCCCCCGATTTTGAGATAGAAAATGAAAGCACATACTTCCTCGTGGTGCCACCTTGGGCTGTGATCTGCCATAGCTTGTCCAGAAACTGGGGTTTCAATGTCCCCCAGCCACAATTAGGACTTCCCTACCCTTCCAGGCACTCTTGGACCTGTGTCCTGTCCCCCTCGACCCAGGGTGGGGTGCTTACCTGGCAGGTCGAGGGCCACAGCGCGGTAGCCCCTCTGCGACAGCAGCTGCAGTGTGCCCAGCCGCTCCCACGTGTGAGAGCTGAAGGCCTTTCCATGCAGCAGTACCACCTCCACCCTGCGGGCACACGGGACAATGTGTGCCCTGGGGCCGGGGGAGCCCACTCTTCTTACTTCCTAGGCTCCCCCCCCCCCGCCCTGAGAACTCTGAGTTGGGCTGGGTCCCCACAGGCACTTACTCCCCTTGAATCCTCACCCTCCACTAGGCCCTCGGATCAGCACGCACCTGTGTGTCCGGTGGAGCGGGAGCACCTCACGGTAGAAGATGGGGGAGTTGCCAGGAGTGAGACCAGCCAGGACTGTGACGTTGGGGTCTCCCCGGAGCCAGGAGGTCTGCTCAGGGGGACCCGGTAGGCCCACATACAGTAGCAGCATGGACAGCAGCCCCAGCCCCAGCAAGGCTACTTGGGACCGGCTCATGGAGGTCTGGACCATGGTCTGGAGGAGGAAAGGAGAGGAGACGGAGAAGAGGCTGGGGCTGAGCCCCCCAAGGTCCTCTGTCTCCCCTCCCCAAACCCAGAAGCCCCCAGCAGAGGAAGAGCTCCAGCCCCTTGCCCCTTCCTTTGCTCTGGGCAGAGGTCGGTGGGTTCACACTCAACCACTCGAAATGGCAGGGCCAAGGCTCAGAAGCCCCAGTGTGAGGAGGGGCTCTGGAGACAGACTCCACCCAGTACACTGGATGACCACCACTGTCTCTGTCCAGGTAAAACCAGTCCCACCCAGCCTGCACTCATGACAACAGGCCCTTTAAGGGCTTGGATGGCCCTTCTTCATATACAAAGGCTCACAGATCCACAAAGAACACTGGGAAGCAGATATGATTATAGGCCTCTCATCCATGAGGGAACTGAGGCCCAGAGATGGAAATTCTCTCACCCAGAGTACAGAGTAACAAGTGGAGGAATTGGGATTTGAACCTGGGGCTGGGGTCCTAACTACCATGCCATACTCAGTCTGCCAAGAAGGAAACTGTCTGGGAAGTGATGGATGAATTGAAGGCTTGGTTGGTGAAGGCCATCAGAGAAAGACTGGCCCAGCTGTGGTGGTACAGGCAGTGGGTGCCACTGCATGGTACCAGAGCTCCATGGGAAGGCCTGGTGTTCAGATACAAGTCAGAAAGGAAGGGTATCGGGGCTGGCAGGTGGTGTGGTGGTTAAGGCACTAGACTCCCACATGGTTGACCATGGTTCAAGTCCCGGACCTGGTGGCTTGCTTTCTCACTTTCTCTCTCTCTGTCTTTCTCTGTTCAAATTAAAATAATAATTAATGGTGATGATGAATAAGATTAAATAACAATTTTTTTGAGAGGTTTTCGCTATAGGGCGCATGCGTTCGCCAGACAGACAGACAGAGACATAGAGACAGAAAGCGAGAAATCACCCCCCAGAGGGGATGGTCACGCCGCAATCCCTTCTCCTCCATTCTCCTCTCGGGATCTTGGGCACGCATGCACATGCGCCCGGCGTGAGTTTTAAGCCACCGAGTCCGGGACTCGAACCGCAGTCGACTTCGTGGGAGTCCAGCGACATAGCCATTACGCTAACTGCTGGTTCCCTAAAAATAATTATTTAAAAAAAGAAAGGAAGGGTATGGGAGGGGGCACTGTGGAGTGGTAAGACTCTTTGGAGATCCCTGTCTCTCTCTCTCCCATGGAAGAAAGAAATAAAACTTTAAAGGAGAAATGCATGAGACCAGCATGTGGCATAATGGTTAAGACACAAAACTCCTACGTGGTCGACTGTGGCTTGAGTCCCAGACCTAGCAGCTTGAAATTCATGCCAGGTGCATGAGCATGTGTTCCCAAAACCCTAGGAGAATGGAAGAAAAGAATTTCGGAGTGGCCCTTCTCCCAGGAGAGGTGGCTTCCCACTTTCCCTCTCATTCTTTTTTTTTTTTTTTAAGAGGTTTTTGCTACAGGGCAGGGGCGCTCGCCAGATAGAGACAGAGAGACAGAAGTGAGAAATCACCCCCCAGGGGGGATGGCCATGCCACAATCCCTTCTCCTCCATTCTCCTCTCGGGATCTTGGGCACGCACGCACACGCGCCCGGCGTGAGTTTTAAGCCACCGGGTCCGGGACATGAACTGCGGTCGACTACGTGGGAATCCAGTGACATAGCCATTACGCTAACTGCTGGTCCCCCACTTTCCCTCTCATTCTCCTCCAGTGAGTGCATGTGCCCTATGGCAAAAACCTTAAAAAAATTAAAAGATAATGGGGCTGGCAGGTGATATGGTGGTTAACGGTGCTGGACTCCCACAAGGCCGACCATGGTTCAAGTCCTGGACATGGTTGCTTGCTTTCCCATTGTCCATCTCTGTCTCTTTCTCACTCTGTCCCTATCTGGTCAAATTAAAATAAAATAAATAAAGTTAAATAAATAAGTTTTTGAGAGGTTTTAGCTACAAGGCATGTGTGCTCACCAGAAAAAGAGAGACAGAGAGACAGAAAGAGAGAAATCACCCCCCAGGGGTATGGTCATGCTACAATCCCTTCTCCATTCTCCTCTTGGGATCTCTGTCTCTCTCTCACTCTGTCCCTATCTGGTCAAATTAAAATAAAATAAATAAAGTTAAATAAATAAGTTTTTGAGAGGTTTTAGCTACAAGGCATGTGTGCTCACCAGAAAAAGAGAGACAGAGAGACAGAAAGAGAGAAATCACCCCCCAGGGGTATGGTCATGCTACAATCCCTTCTCCATTCTCCTCTTGGGATTTTGGGCATGTATGCACATGCGCCTGGCATGAGTTTAAGCTACTGGGTCCAGGACTCAAACTGTGGTCGACTACATGGGAGGGAGTCCAGTGACATAGCTATTATGCCAACTGCTAGTCCCTAATAAATAATTCTTTTTTAAACATTTAAAATAAAATAAAATAAAAAAGGAGAAATTCTATATGAAAATGCACCCCTACTGAGGACATGCTTGGAAATGGCTCTTTTAAGCACATCACGTGTGATACTCAGAATGCGCTCTGCAATCGATGGGAATATTCAATGGTCTACCCTAGCTGTTGTTTTTTCGGTTGATTTTCTCTGTTTCTTCCAAGATAGAGAGTCACCCCCAAGAATGTCCTTGATGGAGGGAATGCTGAGGCATGAGGGTGTGGGGGATCAGGGAGGAGCCTGGTGCACTTGGAAATGGAAAGGGAAGCACAAACCCTGGAGAGACAAGTGTTCCCCATGCACACGCACACACACGTTGCACACACACACAGAGCTTCGTGCCAAGTGACCTGCTTCATGGACTCCGTCCACTTGGGAGTTTTTGCCAGCCCAGAGGTCAGACCTCTGGACCCATGACCCGAACAGGACAGGCAGCCCTGACATTGAGACTTGGCTCCGCTTTTCAGTTTAAGAAGGGATGATCTCATGGGTGCCCTCCCAAGCCTCCTGGGAGATTTAAGCGATGCAGTACACTTGTCTGGGGACTGTCCCTGTCACCATTTCTCTGGCCTAGGGTGACTTTGCCAGCATTTTTTTTCAGTTTTAGTTTTTTGTTTTGTTTTGTTTGCTATAGGATTGTGTGCTCACTGGAGAGATAAAGGGGGACGTGAGAAATCAACCCCCAGGTGTATGACCACACCACAATCCCTTCTCCATTCTCCTCTTGGGAATTTGGTCACGTACACACATTTGTCCAGTGCATTTTCCAAGCCGCTGAGTCCAGGACGCCAACCATGCAGTTGGCCATGTGGGGTCCAGCGCCTTAACCTCCACGCCACTGGCTGGCCCACAGCTAGCACATCTTTATTAGGCACCTAATGGACACTGCTGGCTGAGCTAAGAACTGGGGGCTGTAGGGCTACTTCTGGACGCGTCTCGGATGTCTTCTCAACATCTAGCCCCAAGCTCCTGAATCAGGCAGTGGGAGCCTCTAGCGCTAATAGAAAACCAGGAGCCAAGCAAAGAGAGCACCCCTCATTTTTTCCTACCCAGAAACAGCCTCAGACTCAGCCCGCCTCCAACGCCCAGGCTCCCAGGCAGAGCACCTGCATGTAGCCCCCAGGTCTGCCAAGTGTTCCTCCAGCGCCTCTCCCAGGTGGGAAGGGCTGCCCCCATCGCCTCTCCCAGGTGGGAAGGGCTGGTCGTCTGCAGTTATGGTGGCTACTTAGGGTGGGCCAAATTGGACAATTACTTCAGGAAGCCTGCAGGGACTGGCAAGTCCACTCTACAGACAGGCAGGGAATACACGGTGCCACACCGGGTCATTAGAGCACACGCTGACAATGACACGGCATGCACATAGACACCGAGTCTTGCCCTCACACACTGTTCTTTTGCAAGTACAGCCAGACTCCTTGCACACACATGCTGGTCCATGGGCGACCTATCCCTTGCAATAATATCTTCTAAATAATATCACTTGCACAGCCATCAGGAAGGCAGACAGATGGATGGACACACACGCTTTCCAAACCACCTCTGAAACACCCACACACTCACAGTCATAATCCTAAAACTACACGCTCACAAAGCGACACGGGCACACGCAGACGGACACACACAGAGATCCTCAGAAATGCAGACACACCGGTAGATCACACCCTCAAAGTCACACACACACACAGAAATACACAGAATAGACACATTGACCCAAGCAGCAGACCGACAACAAACCAACCCCCATACAAGCCTGCAGAAACATCACAGACACACAAGTGGACACACACATACACCCAGACCCCCAAGACACACGCAGGCACTCCTGAGCGCGCGCACACACACACCCACACACGAACACACGCACATTCGCTCCCCCGGCGCCCACCCCTCTAGCAGAATTGCCCAGGGCACGGGGGCAAGGGGCGGGGCAGTGAGGACACTCACCTGGCCGACCGGGATGACCAGGCGGGCCAAGTCGGGGCGGGCCCCGCCCACGCGGAACCAGCAGCCAAACAACGCCGCGACCATGGCGCTGCCTCCGCCGCTCTGCGGCTGCTCCGGCACTAGGTGGCCGAGAGCGCGGCCACCGCGGTGCGCCTGCGCGGTCCGCAGCTGCTGGCCGGGCGCCTGGTTACCAAGTAACCCGGGAGGAGGGAGGACTGGGAGCGGCAACTCAAGGCACGCAGGCTCGCCCTAAGTCCAGATGTTCTGGATCGCGTTCCGCCTGAGAGCCAGTGGAGCCGCCAGGCTTCTTCCTAGCAGATCACCTTGACTCGCTCAGTTCTCTCGTTTATACCATGGGTTAGAATAAGACCCACTGCATAGTCATATACAGTAGTCATATATGTCACATATGGTCACATAAAGACCGAAGACCCGGAGAAGCCTTAAAACAGTGCCTGGCGAAGTCCCCGTTACGAATGCCTGGTATTATTAAGTAGCGGTACCAGGTCTGCCACTTAACCAACCCCTGCACACGCGCACAAACACTCGCACGCGCGCGCGAGTGCACACACACACACACTCACACCACACGGCCTAAGCCTGCGGTGGTTTCCGGGCTCCTTCGCGGCTTCTCATGGCACTTACCCTGGTTGGCAATGTGTGACCAATGTCTGGTCTGCCCCAGGTTCAGGGCTCCACGTGGCGACACACCCAGCAGAGAAAGCCTGCGCGTAGCGTGGAAGGCTCGCTCCCTACTGGAACCCTGCGGTGGCTGGCAACATCCAACCCCTTCCACACTGGAACAGGCTGAGGCGTTGTGGGAACGATCAAAGTCACCTGGCTGGACGTTAGCTGGCCTCAACTCAGTGCCTGGGAAGTCCTGGCTAGCGCTGCGAGGAGTGGAGGCCAGGAAGGGGGTGCGACCCCGAAGAAAGCATCCTTCTCAAGCCGAGCTTTGTCGATGTGGGGCAGGTCGCTGAGTGTTTTGGGACCGCGCCCAGTCCAGAGGCACTTGGGGCAGAGAGGCCATGGGGTTTGGGGAAAACTGTGAGAAGACAGCTTGTGACCACAAGAGGGCGCCCCGGAGCATGGCCCGGCCCCCGCCGGGACCGGCCTCTGCCCTGCCTCCCTTTCCCGGCCCCATCCGCCTCTAGCATTTGCCCGCCTCTCGTCTGCGCGAGTCCACGCAGCTCTCCAGGTACCCTC